TCTGAAAAATAAACTAATAGCTTAGTAGGCTTTAACTGGTAAGTCCCAGATAAGCAGCGTTCATAGCGAAGGCTGTGGCGGATCAAAGGGGCTAACCTCCCCCCACTTTCTACACCCCGTTTGAGAACCCAAAAATTGGTATTCTATTGATAATGACCAAAGAATACTTTTAATGGAAAAATAGTTTATCGATGCAGGGCCCCTATTTAAAAAGGCTTGAAATTTCAGTACTGCCACCCCATCCTCCCACCCCACCCCACCTCTCCCCACTCCTCCCTCAGCCCAGCCCACCCGCCATCACAAACTCACGCTCACCGGTGCGGTGAAGTATGGCTCAGAGAACCCCCGTGACCAACAACGGTGCTTCGTAGGCCTCCCACCGAGCAGTAGCGTGAACAGGGGGGCAGCGCATTGCGACGAGCGTCATCTCTCGTCGTCGTTCCAGGTTGCCACCTACTTAATTGCCCGTCAGTGTATTTCACGTGAATTATATTTCAGGACTCGGGGGGGGGTGGGTGGGGGGATGCGTAGGAGTCACATGGGGGAGTCGAACTCATGCAGTCTGGCTGCAAGGCAGGGTGGAGTACATTTACAGTGTGGGGGGGGGGTTGTCGAGGGTGGGGGGCGGCCCATCCCTTTGCCAATTACAATTTTACGAGCGGCCGTAACCTTTTAAGAGGAAAAGTAAACCCCCCCCCCCCCCCCGGATTTAAATATCCCGCCTCGTATATGGAAAATTCAATAGCTCGCGGGAAGAGAAAGTTTCAGTAATTACAAGTGGTAATTTAAGCAGCTGTCTTGCCTGTTGCGTCATTGTTGTTTCACCGCTGCCCTCGGACGGGTGAGCACAAGTCAACGATTTCTCCATCAACTGTTTAACGAACCCCGGAGAAACCCTTTGCCAGAGTCTCGGCATCACGTTTTGTTTTGTTTGCAGGAGCCCGTTCGATTAGTCTCCCTGTGTGGGCAGGTTGAGCGTTCGTTGTTTTGTCCAGTTCTTCGTAATGTTTGAGAAATTTGTAATTTTTCTGCCGAGTTTTGCGAACGGAACCCCTCCCGTCGGTCGCTCCCCCCGGAGGAGACCCCCCCCCCCCTCGTGCATTCTGGCTAAAAACCAGAAAAAAAATGAATATAATCGGTGACGTTTTGGGCAACGGCCATCCTTTGTTGTTTGGATTATTTTGGCCGCTGCTGTAAATTTCCGCGCGACGATGAGCCACTTTGTTGAGCTGTCATTTGTGGTCGCTCAGTGGGCTTTGCCTGGTAAAAAATAAACGTAGATGTATATTCGTAATTTTTAGTGATTTGCTTGTCCTTTCCTATACTTTGCACCCATTTATTGTTGCCACGTTCTGACCCCGTGCCCCTACTGGTCATCTGTGAACAAAGAGCTTGACAGCTCATCAAATTCCTCCAGTCTGAATAAATATTCTGATTACTAGCCTTTTGCCCGTCCAAGGACGGGTGTATTGGCAGTAAATCTGAAACTTGCAAGCGAAAAGCAGACTGCGACGTGATATACATTGCATCCATTCGTGTGCAATTTGTAAGGCCGCGGTGTCACAGACCTATTTCATGTTAAGGTTATAATCCCTCGTTCATCACGACGTCCTTTTTACTTCGATGTCTCAACAGCGTTACGGAGATCACGTGATGACGTGAGGGTTCTGCCTTTGTAGTGAGGGTTGTCAGTTGACACTGAGGAGGGGGGAGGAGGCGCCTCGCCCCCCCTCCATGTGGAGTGACGTCACCTGCTCATGATTATTAATGGGGGGGGGGGGTCCATGTGGAGGACGTAACCTCTTCATGATTATTAATGAGGGGGGGCTGGTCGTCGTGGAGTGACGTCACGCGCGGGACACACGGACATTCTTGGCTCGTTATAGTAGTTAAGCCATTCCCCTCCTTGCCCTCCTTCCTCTCTGAAAGCCTCACCTCTAGATCTCTCTTGCCCAATTATCTTCCTTTTCCTTCCCCTCCACTCCTTCCCGTCCCTTCCCCACCCTCGCGGCATCCCCTCTCAGTACCCCCTCGATCGCTCCCACTCATTCCTCGGCATCGTGCGCAGCGCGCCCGTGCCCTCCCCGCCAACGACATCACCCCAATCCTCGTCACCGTTCCGTGAGCTGTGTGGAGCGCTTCGAGCGAAGGCAGCTCCGCTCTATAAATATAAATTGTGTTACGGATTGGATGCGTGGCATATAAATTAAATAAATGAATGCACAACGGACAAATCCCTGCCGTGCAGAAGAGACGTTGGCTGAAACATCACCTTTTGTATGTTTTTTTTTGTCCGTTTGAGGCCACGGCATCATTGACGAACATCTTGAGTCTGTTTGAATGAAGCAAATGGGTTTTTTTTCCCCGTAAGAGCGTGTTTGTTTGTTCGTACGTGTGCGCGCTCTTGTGCGTACGCGTAGGCGTTCGTGTGTGCGCGCGTGGCCGTCAACGCACGCGTCCGTATCAGTGTGTGCACGTTGGCGGATGTGTGCCGGGGAGCGGTGGCGCAGTGGTTAGCACACTGCGCTACGCAACCCAGCCACCTCGGTTCGATTTCCAGATACGGGTAAAAGCCCTGAAAGGCGAGTGGTATCTGAGCCAGTCCCGGGGCGTCCTGGGCCTCCCTTGCGTCGACTCGGCCTTCAACGAGTGCCCAGTCCGTCGTGTAAACAACAGCGCGGCAGACGCAAAGGGCGGCTGGGCGTAGTGCCATCCGCGCCACCCTCTCATGCGCCGTGCCGGCCTTCGCCAGTGCTCGATAACAGCGCTCGCCCCAACAATTCTGTCGGGGCTATTTTGGCGGGGGTTTGAGGTTGGGGGATCTTCGTCTTCGTCGTCCGCGAAACACTTAGCACGCTCCGAGCAAGGTAGAAAGGTGGCGGGCGCGGCCCTGCAATTGCTTGCTTCCACCGCTGCTCCTCGTCGTCGGGTCCGGGTCGGCGTTCGGACCTCCTCCTCCTCCTCCTCCGCGCTCGCCAGACGTCTTGGCGTCGCCCGCACGTCACCTCTCCCCACCGCGTGCGTCCTGCTGGCCGACTGACTGCGGCGCGACTCGTTTGTGCGGCCAGGGCGCGAACGAGAGGCCCTCGCGAGTCGTCGTTTGCCACGCCGACGGTTCCCGTCGCGTCGTACGCACGCACGAGGAACTTCTCGCCCGCCCTACGTGGCCAGACGTGCTAATCGTAGGTTTGCCCGGGGTTTTGGGGGGGGGGGGGAAGGGTGAAATTTCCCCCCCACTGCCGTGGCATGAGCAGGTGTGTTGTTGACTTTCCCCGCAGAGAGAGGTGGCTTATTTTGTTTTATCCCATGGGGGGTGGTGGGAGGGGGGTACGTCAGGCACAGCGGTTTCTAGTTGTCGGGGGTTTGAACTCGCAGCCTTCCAGTTGTTGAATCATCGAGTGCTGTGACGGGGGGGGGGGGGGGGGGGGCGGGCGGGGGGGTTGGGGGGTGGCTCTGATTCGTTTGCAATTTACAATCAGAGATTCAATCCGGGAAATGAAATTCGATAGAGGTGAAAGTACACTGTAATTTCCCGCTTTGCATTTGTGTGGCTGGAATGGGAATTTGAGTGTGAACACGTGTGGATTGTTGGGTGTGTGCATGTGCGTGTGTGTGTGTTTGCCTGTGCGTACATGAATTGTGGGAAGCGGCGGTGCGGTGGTTCGCGCGCAGCGCTACAAACCCGGCGACCCGAGTTCGATTCCCGCTCATGGCAACTAGCACCAATGACGATTATTTGAACCCGTCCGGGGCCTCCCCTCGGTCAACTTACCCTCAAATGAGTACCTGTTGCGGTGTGTAAACATCGCCACGGGGGAGACAAAGGTGGCCGGGTGTGGTGCTGGCCACCCACCCCCTCGTGTACCTTGCCAGGCTTCATAGGTGCCTCTCGCTAGCAGCACTTGCCCCAAAAGTCTGTTAAGGCTATATGGGGGGGGGGATATTTGTCTTTATCTTGTACATGAACATGCATACACATGTGCGTGATGCATGCCACATTTCCAAAAAGTTTGCATACTCAAATTCAAAACCAAATGCAGATTTATCTTCTCCACGTCGCGGTCCCCTTGCCTTGACGGGTTGATTCAAATGGTTCTCATATTGGCTGCATCGAGGGCTTCAAGCCAGCACCTTTGGGGACCCATAGGTTCACGCAGGTGTCCACCCTGTCATCAAATCAGATTCTCCGGTGTAATGCGTTAATGGTCCCACCCTGGTCATTAATGACGTGAAAAATGTGCAATATATAAAACGGTAGTTTTTTGTGTGTTGTTTAGTTTTGCTTTATTCTCTGAACCAGTTTGCGGTGTTGATAGCATTTATAAGCCAACGTGTTCAACTTACTAACATTTGCCAACGCCGCATTTTGGTTGATTCGGTGGAAGGATAGGGTGAAGCAAATTCAAAATAGAGCCTAGGAAGGAAAAAAAGCATTGTGGTCGTCGTAATTTGGAAGAAGAGGAGGTAGTGGAGGTTGAGGAGGCGATGGGTGGGATGTGTGCAGGACATGGCATGGTGCTCACGCTTGGCTCAACGTTTGACAGGTATCGTTAATGGGACCAGGTAAGGCCCACTGAGCTACACAGCTTTGTTTCAGAAAGCGATCTGGTGACAAATAATAATGGGCCAACGAAGTTGCTTATCACGTGGAAATAAATGTATCGCAGCCAAATACAGTAAACGCATGTTTATAAATGTGGAGGGAAAAACCGGAGGCACCCGGAGAAAAATCCACGCGACTACGGGGAGCGAGAGAGACACGCAAATTCCAAAAATATGGGTTTCAGTGTCGGGATCGAACCCACGACCTCCTGCGTACCAGGCGAGGTGGTTAACACCTCGACAAAGACATCAAATCCACAGACGAGGGCTCGACTCAAATTCCACGCAGCCATCGACGTCGTCTTAAGAGCTATGACTGTGGTTCGAAACGCTGCCTCTACAAGCGCTGCCCGCGACTGACCCTGTGACTGCCCTCCGTGCCCCCCCCCACCGCACAGGTACATGAAATACCTGTACCCCTACGAGTGCGAGAAGAAGGGGCTCAGCTCCCCGGCCGAGCTGCAGGCCGCCATCGACAGCAACCGCAGGGAGGGACGGCGCCCGAGCTTCGGCTCCCCGCTCTACAGCTACACGCCGCCGGGCCCCTCCAACCTGCTGCCCTCTCCCAAGATGCACCTCTCCAGCCTGGGCATCCCCGGACTCACCAACGGCACGCACATGCCGTCCGGCCAGTCCATCAAGAAAGGTGAGCGAGCGACCCCCCCCCCCCTCCCCCCCGGGGGTGTGGGGTGGGGGGGGGGGGGGGTCATGCATCTTTGCCCGCTGGACAATCGGGAGCCGTTCTGGTGGCGGGAAGGGGCGGGGGGGGGCGGCCGTGCTGGGCCCGGCCGACCGGCCGTCGACGGAGTCGCGTCGTTTTCGTCCCCCTTCCTTCGTCCGAACCGGAACGTTGACGGTCGCGCTTTGAACACGCGCGTAGCTGTTCACCCGTCGCTCTCTCGGAGGACCGACGCCGCAGAGGTATCCAGGAATGGAGGAACCGCAGACGAACCGCGGAAGGCAGCTTGCCAGGCGGTGAGCCGGCGCTACCTAAAAATTGCCCAAGCTCTTGCGGTCCTCTATATTTATTAAGGTGTCACCCGATTAGTGTCGAATAATGTCAACGTTACGGCCTAGGCTTTGTCGACCGTGGATGGACGTTACGGGTAAATGTCCCATTGCTTTAACACCACCCGAGAGGCGTTCCGAGACTGGTGAGATCCAGCGGGAAAGATTCCGCGTTGCAATGCCGCTTACGTTTTCTCTACGTAGCTTCTGGATATTTAATTTAAGTGCAACAGAATCACCTCCAAATCCCCCCCCCCACCCCCTCCAGCTTGTTTGACGAACCCTCACGATCCATACTCGCGATTCGAAATTGAGAACCGATTTAAATATTTTTAAAAAATTAAATTCTCTGCCTCGTTTTAAGCCCTCCCCTTGGTCGTTTTATTCCTCCCGGTCTCGTTCGGGTTTTCGCTCGCAAGATAAACTATTTCCATCGATGTTAACGATCCATCGATCAATGATCGATCAATGAATCGATGCCGGTGATTTATCTCGAAAAACGCCTTTGACGGACCCCCAACGGGGTGTCTTCGTTGCCATCGCGGGTTCAGCTCCGGCCGAGAACACAAAAAGCAAAAACCCGGTGGAAATTGCGCAAAGGCAATAAAACAGCTGACGTCGAATCCACAATATCCAGCAGAGCTATAGAAATAGTTCACGGGGTCTTTGCCCACCCCCCCCCACCCGCCCCCTGTAAATGATTCTAAATTATGCATCGGAGTAGCTTACGTAGAGGCAACGACGAGGATTAACGATTTTGTTTACTATCGTGTCCCAACCCAGCCCCCGCAGCCCCCCCCCCCCCCCCACGGGGTTTTTTTTATAGTGCAATGGGAAACGCAAATGTATGACATCGTCCCATCGCCCCCAAAAAGCATCGCCCGGCGGGCTCCGGGGGCGTAGGGCGCAACGCAGCGCCTCGTGACCGATGATGAACCCGCCCCACCCACAACCTCTGATCAGCCGCTGCTTGTAAGGGTTTTATTTATGTTTTTTTATATTTTTTTTTTTTGTCGAGAGCCGGCGCTAACCGCTGGGACGGAATCGGCCGAGTCAATGGTTGGTGGTGGCGGTGGGGGGGGGGGGGTCATAAAATCGGGCCTTCTGATTGTCACCACCGCGAAGGACCGCCGATGGGGCCGATGCGTTCGCGTGCGTGTGTCCGTGTGCGTGTGCACGCGTGCACGCTAACACACGCGCACACCCCCGTATAGCCTTAATAGACTGTTGGGGGCAAGTGGTGTTAGCGAGCAGCGCCGATGAAAGCAGGAAGGGCACACGAAGGGGGTGGGTGGCCCGAGTTCGATTGCCCGCTCACGGCCAACACCAGTGACGAATGTCTGAACGGGTCCTGGGCCTCTCCCCCGAGGTCGACTCGGTCTCAAAATGAGCACCTCGTGGCGGTGTGCAGTGAACATCGCCATTTCCACGTGGGCTTCTCTTGCCATGATACACGGACCGGGTGCTCGCAAACTCTGAAGCCGTCATCGCGCCCGACAGCCTGCGCGCCGAAATACGTTCCGCTTTTGCTTTTTCTTTTACGTATATATAGAAGCACGCGTTGAGACTATTTAGGTGATTTTTGCTGCTATCCATGTCGAAATGATAAGCCACTTCTTTTTGAGCTTTCATTTGGGGCCAGATCGCTTTTGAAAATGTAAACTAAACCATCCCCATCCTGGTAGGATGGGGATGGTTTAGTTTTATTTGTAAGTTTTTGGGCGATTTGTTTAACGTTCTTGTACTTTGCACTCCTATCGTGTTTTGTAACTGTTTGTTGTTGTCACGTTCTTACCCCGTGCCCCGACTGGACATCTGTGAAGCAAAGCTTTATACATATTCTGATATATATTTATATACAGTGAGGGAAAAAAGTATTTGATCCCCTACTGATTTTGTACGTTTGCCCACTGACAAAAAAATGATCAGTCTATAATTTTAATGGTAGGTTTATTTGAACAGTGAGAGACAGAATAACAACAACAAAATCCAGAAAAATGCATGTCAAAAATGTTATAAATTGATTTGCATTTTAATGAGGGAAATAAGTATTTGACCCCCTCTCAATCAGAAAGATTTCTGGCTCCCAGGTGTCTTTAATACAGGTAACGAGCTGAGATTAGGAGCACACTCTTAAAGGGAGTGCTCCTAATCTCAGCTTGTTACCTGTATAAAAGACACCTGTCCAGAGAAGCAATCAATCAATCAGATTCCAAACTCTCCACCATGGCCAAGACCAAATAGCTCTCCAAGGATGTCAGGGACAATATTGTAGACCTACACAAGGCTGGAATGGGCTACAAGACCATTGCCAAGCAGCTTGGTGAGAAGGTGACAACAGTTGGTGCGATTATTCACAAATGGAAGAAACACAAAAGAACTGTCAATCTCCCTCGGCCTGGGGCTCCATGCAAGATCTCACCTCGTGGAGTTGCAATGATCATGAGAACAGTGAGGAATCCGCCCAGAACTAAACGGGAGGATCTTGTCAATGATCTCAAGGCAGCTGGGACCATTGTCACCAAGAAAACAATTGGTGACACACTACTCCGTGAAGGACTGAAATTCTGCAGTGCCCGCAAGGTCCCCCTGCTCAAGAAAGCACATATACATGCCCGTCTGAAGTTTGCCAATGAACATCTGAATGATTCAGAGGACAACTGGGTGAAAGTGTTGTGGTCAGATGAGACCAAAATGGAGCTCTTTGGCATCAACTCAACTCGCCGTGTTTGAGGAGGAGGAATGCTGCCTATGATCCCAAGAACACCATCCTCACCGTCAAACATGGAGGTGGAAACATTATTCTTTGGGGTTGTTTTTCTGCTAAGGGGACAGGACAACTTCACCGCATCAAAGGGACGATGGACGGGGCCATGTACCGTCAAATCTTGGGTGAGAACCTCCTTCCCTCAGCCAGGGCATTGAAAATGGGTCGTGGATGGGTATTCCAGCATGACAATGACCCAAAACACACGGCCAAGGCAACAAAGGAGTGGCTCAAGAAGAAGCACATTAAGGTCCTGGAGTGGCCTAGCCAGTCTCCAGACCTTAATCCCATAGAAAATCTGTGGAGGGAGCTGAAGGTTCGAGTTGCCAAACGTCAGTCTCGAAACCTTAATGACTTGGAGAAGATCTGCAAAGAGGAGTGGGACGAAATCCCTCCTGAGATGTGTGCAAACCTGGTGGCCAACTACAAGAAACGTCTGACCTCTGTGATTGCCAACAAGGGTTTTGCCACCAAGTACTAAGTCATGTTTTGCAGAGGGGTCAAATACTTATTTCCCTCATTAAAATGCAAATCAATTTATAACATTTTTGACATGCGCCTTTCTGGATTTTTTTGTTTTATTCTGTCTCTCACTGTTCAAATAAACCTACCATTAAAATTATAGACTGATCATTCCTTTGTCAGTGGGCAAACGTACAAAATCAGCAGGGGATCAAATACTTTTTTCCCTCACTGCATGCACTGAGGCCAGGCATTTGCGTGCCTTAATACACTCCGCTCTGTGTTTCTCTTTTTTATATGTGAATATATTATATATATTTATATATTGAGGCCAGGCGGCAGAGTCTAATCTTCACCTTCCACGTTCGCTCCTTTTGAGTGGCCCATGCCTCTCTGAAATTTAGAAACCAACAGCCTGGGCACCGCCCTGATGATATACGGCGGCCAAAGTGACAAAGCAGAAGCCTGAGTGGAAACGGTCATGCGAAGAGGTTGTAACAGAAGGAGGGTAGAGAGACGCATATATATATAAAACATACAAACACGCACGCACGTGCTCGCACACTCGCTGACTATTTCACGAAATCGTATGTTAAGTTTCGTGTACACCCGTTGACGTAAAAAGACACGCATGCATGTGTACGTACACACACGCACACAAAGACGAACAAAGATCACCCGTGTAGCCTTAACAGGCTTTTGAGGCAAGTGCTGTTTGGGAGCGCCTATGAAGGCCGGCACTGCTCACGAGCGGGTGGGTGGTCGGCGGCACGCCCGGCCACCTTTGTCTCCCCAGTCGCAATGTTTACACACCGCACCAGGTACTCATTTTAGAGTGAGGCGACCTATAGGAGGCCCAGGACTGGTTCAGATAATCGTCACTGATGTTGCAGGCCACGAGCGGGAATCGAACCCAGGTCGCCGGGTTCGTAGCGCAACGAGCTAACGACTGCGCTACCGCTGCCACACACTCCTACGTACACACGCACTCGCTGGTACGAACTCGCATACGTCCACTCAATCGTAAAACTCTGCCATGGCCAAACACACCCACTCATAAAAGCACGCGCGGAGATGCGCCCTAATACACGCAAGTCGCAAGTCGCCCGTCGCAAACACGCGTTGACTCGCGGACGCACACGCTCACCCGCGAACATATACGCAGTGTGTGTGTATATGTATGTATATGAAGGACACAGATTGCTGTGTAGTCTACAGAGACTGTAGGAACAAGGGCCGTGAGTGAGCACCCATTACGTCTTCGTCACTGTAGGACAAATGTCCCCTATAAGCCTTAACATATCGTTGGGGCAAATTCTGTTTGCAAGCACCTTTTTGCAATCTCATGAACACATACAAAGATAAAGGCTCCCCCGCCCCCTCCCCCCCCCGTATAACCTTAACAGACTGTAGGGGCAAGTTGCTGTTAGCGAGCACCTTTGAAGGCCGGCACGGCACACGAGGGGTTGGTGCGTGGCCAGCACCACGCCCGGCCGCCTTTGTCTCCCCAGCGGCCATGTTCACTACAGACCGCACCAGGTACTCATTTGAGGCTGAGTCGACCGAGGAGAGGCCCAGGACCGATTCAGATGATTGCGACTGCTGTCGTTCGTGAGCGGCAATTGAACTCGGGTTCATAGCTGCAGCGCGCTAACCGCTACGCTGCCAGCCGCCAACGCGCGCACACAGACACACAAAAAAGACAAAGACACGCACGCACGCACTCAAGACACCGATGTCTCTGGAGGGGCAAGAGTCTCCATACACATTCCCGGGATGAGCATAGCACCGATGACGTCTTAATCGCGCTGCCGCGATCTCCCACTCGCACGCAACGCTAATAAAAGGCGAACAAAAATACGAGAAATCAACCGCAATCCGGTGCCTTATTGATCGGCGACGGGGCAATGCCTCAAATCCCCCTCTCGTTGCTAATCCCGCCGCTCTCGGCAGGCACTGGCTTAGCAGATCCGTTGTCCGCGTCGCGTTTGATACGTCGAGGCGGCTGCGTACGCCAGCGCTCTTCCTCCTCTTCCTCTTCTTCCCCGCGTGTGCCCCACTCGCGCGGGGTGTTCCGCTGCTGTCCTTGCGAAGCGTCTCCAAGCCGCGCCGTCCTGCGCCATCGCTCTTCCCGCTCCTTGGGCCAGCCTTGTGTCTGATCGCACCGCATCGCCCCCTCTTCCTCTTGATCTCTTTCCTTCCGCTTGCATCACTTGCACCTTCTGCGTACTCGAGACGATGAAACTTTTTAAAAACAAATTGTTTTACCAGGCGTGGCCCACCGAGCTACACAGCTCTTTTTCAGCAGCGACCTGGCGGTCACAAACGATAGGTCAGCGAAAGCGGCTTATCGTCGTCACGTGGATGTTTCTCGCAGCCAAACACTCGAAATGCGTGATGTCGATTCTAAATGCGGAGGGAATCACCGGAAGAGCCGGAGAAAAATCCACGCGACCACTGGGAGAAAGACACGCAAACTCCCAATATACAGCAGGCGTCAGAGTTGAGATCGAACGCACGACCTCCTGTACACCAGGCGAGGCAGTTAACATCTCGCCACCACGGCGCTTGGCGCGCTTAGATCGCTTGACTCCTGCATCATTATCATCATTGGCCGTGGTCAATCCGCTGCTGGATGAATGCCTCCCCTAGCCTTCGCCTCCACTCCCGCGGCCCTGCAGCGTTAACAGTCCAACCTGGTGGCCTGGCGCACGACGACTTGATGCCCATCGTCCCCATCGCCTTCCGTTCCTCGGCCGCCCCTCTGCCAGTGAATTCTCAAACCGTCCATCCGTCATCGTCTCCCTCCCGGCCGTGACGCATCCCGGCCGTGTCCCCTTCGCTTGCCGTAACCGTTGGGACGGTCCTTCAGAACCGGTGCCGGGCATCACCTAGGTCGACTCGGCCTCACATGAGCACCTGGGTGCGGTGTCGAAACAGAGGCGGCGGCGGCGGCGGCGGCGGGGCCCGTGGCGCTACTGGCCACCCCCGTGTGCGGTACCGGCCTTCTTCGTAGGCGCTGCCACTCGCTTCAAAGCGCTTGCCCCAACAGTCCGTTGAGGCTATGCGGGGGGTGAGGGAGGAGACCTTTGTGTTTGTGCCGCTGTCAATAAAGTTGCACAAATCTCGTCACTTACGCACGCACACACACACACCTACCGACTTATCCGACCTTTGCTTAAAATACATGAAGGGCGGGGGGGGGGGCTAAATAAATATGGAAATATCTTTCTATAAACGATGAGCTCAGGCCCAAAGGTCCAAAACATCACATGCCCAGCAACAAACAGAAAATACGGCATAAATTAGGCATTGTGATGGAAAACCTATAATTAAAACACCATATATATGAAAGCCTCTGCCTCTATGACGTATCATTTTTTTTTCATAAGCACTGTATATGGCAATCTTCTTTTTGCTACGTGTAATAAACTTGCCCGAATCATTTGACGACTGTATAACACAATATTCAGACGACAATTATCTCCTATGACAATCAAAAGCGGCCATGCGGCTTAGCTGGTCGGTGGCGGTGGGTGGGGGGGGGGGGTTGTCTCAGCCCATCATCCCTCCCTCGGGGGGGGGTCGATAAAATAAGTATCACTCTGAGGAAAGTCGACGCGGCGGTTAGCGTGATTGATGGGCACGTCGTGCCCTGCAGTAGGAACGTGGAATTTCCACCGGCTTGGTGCTGTTCTCACGGGAGAAGGAGCAGCTGTGCCTTGCAGAGCCGCATGGCTCACAGGGTTATACCTAATAAATGAAACTGAAACTGAGATCATCCTGGGCGTGTGCGCCATTGTGGTCTGCGAGTCCGGTCCTTGAGCGTGGCGTGTTGTGAGCGGCGACAACTGCTCAGTGGGTTTCCACTGCCGCGAGACAGGCTCTCGTACGTTTACCGTATTCTACCAAATTACGTGATGAAGTAAACAATTTTTTTTTTTATCTCGGCGCTGGTAGCTAGGCAGCACCCGTGGCCGGTGATCCAGCACTTGCATAGGCAGGCCGGTCTGATGGGTCGCACAAATTCATGAAACCCCCCACGGCCTAAACCGTGGGAATGAAACTCTGAACCTCTTGGCTTTTGCAGGCCTATGGTGGCCGTACAGCAAGAGAGCGCCACGGTGGCTAGGAGATGTTAACTACCTCGCCTGGTATACAGGAGGTCGTGGGTTCGATCCTGACCCTTGACACCTGTATATTTAGAGTTTGCGTGTCTCCCTCTCCCCGTGGTCGCGTGGATTTTTCTCCGGGTCCTCCGGTTTTTCCCTCCACGTTTAGGAACGTGCGTTTAGAGTATTTGGCTGCTATTAAAACAAATGTCCACATTGTGATAAGCCATAATGTGGGCCACACCTAGTAAGATTTAAAAAAAAATGATTTAATAAAAAATTGTTGAAAATGAAATTCCATCTGTGAGGGGATTCAGTGTCACCACCCTCCCACACCCGGGGGGGGGGGGGGGGGTGTTTCCTCCCAACGCGTTTAAACACCTATCCCAATAGAGGACCACAAAGCTTGGGCAATTGTCGTCGCCGGTTCCCAGCCGCACTCCCGTTCACCCGTTGTTTTCCACGCCTCCGAATCGCTCCCTCCTCTCCCGCCCCCTCTCCGTCTCTCTGTGAATGACATCCGCGTGCATTACAAATCAAATGATGATGATGATGATAATCCGGAGGATACGGTTCTCTGAAGCAATATCTCGTGACGGCTGTCGCCTGCCCTCTCTTGTTCCGTGTGCGCGCGCAGAGGACGACATGGGCATGTCCGGCCACCGCCTCTCACTGCCCGTGCCTCTGGCGGCGGCCGCGGCGGCGGCGGCTGCGGCCAACCAGCACGCGGCGGCTGCGGCGGCTGCACAGGTGCAGGCCCAAGTTCAGGCTCAAGTGCAGGCGCAGGTACGTGTCTGTGTGTCTGTGTGTCTGTGTGTGTGGGGAGCGGTAGTGTAGCGGTTAGCGCGCTGCGCTATGAACCCGGCGACACGGGTTCGATTCCCGCTCACGGCCAACACCGGTGACGATTATCTAAACCGGTCCCGGGCCTCCCCTAGGTCGACTCGGCCTCAAATGAATACCTGGTGCGGTGTGTAAACATCGCCACTGGGGAGACAAAGGCGGCCGGGCGTGGTGCTGGCCACCCACCACCTCGTGTACCGTTCCGGCATTCATAGGTGCTCGCTAACAGCACTTGCCCCTACAGTCTGTTAAGGCTACACGGGGGATCTTTGTGTTGTGTGCGCTCGCAACAACGAGCAGAGCGCCAGGCGGCTAAAACACAGCAAGGTGGCATAGTAGCGGGGGGGGGGGGCGCGCAGGTGGTGCACCGGCCAGTCATCTCGGTCAGTCGACCCGTGGCACCTGGATCCGTCCCGTGGGCCTCCTGCCGGCGGGCGTTCGGCTACTTCGCGTGACTTTAAAGTGCACATAGCCTGGCACAAGCGCCGTGGTGACGTCACACCACTTAGTGGCGAATGGCGGTTGTTGTTGTTGTTTACGTATGTGCGTTGAACTTCTTGGCGAACCGTGCTCATGGGAGGTGCGATGGAAGGACAACAAACTGAACAACACCAACAACAACAACAAGCAGTTCTAAAGAAATGAGCTCCCCGCCGGCGGTTGGCACGGGGCTCGCCGAGACGCGGTGAAGACGACGACGGTGTCGTCCGTCGCGAGCTCCGTGACCCGTCGGACCGTTTCCTTTAAAGGGTCCGTGGTTGTTGTGGTTGTTGTTGTTGTTGTTGTTATTCTTGCCGTTGTCCACCGCCCGAAAAATGGCCTGTAATCCGGCACTTTCGAGGCAGTGGGAGTTGGTGGATCGCACGCAGATGTTGATGTTAGAGAAACTACCTTTCCCGTGGGCGTTCGAGGTGGCGCCGTTACCCCCTGGCTCGCCAGGAGGAGGCGGTAGAGCAAGCGGACTGATCGCCGTCGGTTTCCACCTGTACGGGGATAGACTGTAGAACTAAACACTGCATTTTTTTTACTGAATATGTCTTAAAATAAAACCAAATTCCGCAGCAGCAGCAGCTGCAGGACCCTCCTGCAAAAGAGTCCTACGACTTAGCCCGTGGCTCTGCGGGATATATAATTAAATTATTCTTCTTCTTTGGTTCTTTCGGTAAAGTCACGTAGAATGAGAATAAAATAATAAATTGATAAAATAAAATAACACAATAATATTCTCACGACGTTTCGGCCACAACACAAGCGGCCTTCATCAGGTGAAGGGGGCGAGACTGTCTGGTAGGACAGTCTCGCCTGATGAAGGCCGCTTGTGTTGTGGCCGAAACGTCGTGAGAATATTATTGTGTTATTTTATTTTATCAATTTATTATTTTATTCTCATTCTACGTGACTTTACCGAAAGAACCAAAGAAGATGAATCATTGCAGTCACGAAAGCTTTAAATCGAAATTTAAATTATTATTGTTATTTAAAAATCAGATGCATTTTTTTCTCACAGATATTCGCAGGTGTCCTCACACCTGGCCCCATGCCAATTGCACTCCGCTACGTTGGCCACCCGAATCCCCGAATCGTAAAGTGAAGCAGGCGCGGCGAAGTGAGAGCGCGTCCGTCCGTGCGTCCGTGCGCGCCCGCGTGTTTGTGTGCGTGCGTGTGTGTGTACACACACACACACGCACGCGTGTGCTCGAGGAATAGGCCAGTAGGAGCGCGCGCGTACACGCACGCACGCGCTCCTACGTGCTGTGTTTACGTCCGCGAGCGATCCGCGCTGGGAGGATAATTGGGCCGCCCCTGCCCTCCCCCCCCCCACCGCCCACTGTCGTATCAGCGCGGAGCTATCACTCTCGTTCGCCGCGGCCCTCCCCGTTCGCACCGTATCTCTCCGCCTCGCTCATCTTCTCCCGGTATCTCTCTCTCTCTCTCCATCCGCCTCTATCTGCCTTTCCCTTGCGAAGAAACAATTACGGGCGTTTTTTTTTTGTTTTGTTTTGCCCGAACGCGCCTTGCCCCGCCGCTCGGCAATCGAAAGCAATATTCGCGCAGCTTTCTAAAATAAACCGCCGAGCGCGTTCGAGTGCCGAGCGAGAGAAGAGCGTGTGTGTGTGTGAGCGTGTGTGCGCGCGTGTGTGTGAGCGTGTGTGTGCGCGCGTGTGTGCGCGCGTGTGTGTGAGCGTGTGTGTGAGCGTGTGTGTGAGCGTGTGTGTGAGCGTGTGTGTGAGCGCGTGCGTGCGTATCGCTCGTAGTGTTGATGTGAACGATGTGCGGCCGAGGCGGGGGGTGGCGGGGGGGGGCGGGGGGGGGGGGGCGGGGAGGAGTGGCGGTGCGGTGGTTAGCGCACCGACAGGACTCCGAACCCGGAAGAAGTGCGTTGTGGCGAAAAACACGCACATGCTCTCGCGAGCAACTCCCCCCCCCGCCCCCCCCCCCCCGGTTATGTAACGCCGTTGTAAGTTGGCTCGAGTTGTCACGAATCGACGCTCAACTTTTACCGAAGGGCGATCGATTGCATTCCTGACATTTCCGACAGAGAAAAAAAAGAGCCATCATCGGTCACGGTGACAACAACAACAGCAACAACAATAATAATAATAATTTGCTGCCGCCGGCGGATAATTTAAACGCTCCGGATAGGCGTGCCTCGTAGGGCATCCACGGGCAAGCCGGTGAAACACCGGCGCAGGCGCTACGGTGCCGGCTGTGGACGACGTGGTTAAGAGCGGGAGCACGGCTCGCGGTTGGAAGGTTGGGAGTTCAAGTCCTGACTGACGTGGGGAGGGGGGGCGGGGGTGAGTCATTTGTGGCCAGGTTGCTTCTGAAAAATAAGCTGATAGCTCAGTCGGCTTTAACCGGTAAAGTAAACATAGATATGCATTATTTTTTGTTTGTGATTTGCTTACCTTTCCTATGCTTCGCACTCCTTTTCCGCAGATGCCCCTACTGGACATCTGTGAAAAAGAGCTTTAGAGCTCATCAGATTCCTCCTCCAGCGTCAACAAACATTTCTGATTCTACTGAAATTGCACAGGGGCCCATCCGTGGTTCAGGTAGGGGCCCCGGATCTGGACCACATTGATGGGGGGGGGCGGGGGGGCGGGGGGTGGGGGCGCTGTGGGAGAGCGGGGGAGTCGGGGGGGGGGGTCAGAAATTGGACAGGGGTCACCCACATTTCATTCTCTGCACCAGCGCCGCCCTTGATAACCCTGTGGGGCACCACTTTTGGGGGGTGGGGTTGCCTACCCACAGCAAGGGAACGTGGAATTTCCACGATGTGGCTCGGAGACATCAATGGAGGCGAGCGAGCGCCGTCGCTCGCCCGTTTTGAGCGGCGACACAATTTTAACTTTCTTTTATTTTATTTTCAATCCCGTAGCAGCACCAGCGGCGATGTGCCTGCCAACATAGCCGATACGATTAAACTCGTTGATGCTGCGTTGGCGGTGTTACCGACGAACGCGGCGCCACCAAATATCGACCGTGAAAACTCCCCACCCGTGTGCCATGAAGGAGATCCATCGCCACCGAAAACGTCGCCCGTGAGGCCGCAAGCGTCATTGGCCAATTGCGTTTGACTAAAAAAAAAAAAATTTAGTTCGTCCCTTTTCGTTGTGACCCTCTCGGTGATGCGCCTGGTGCCTGGGTGGGCCTGCGAAAATCCTCGCGCTCTCCGGCGGGTGTGGGCAGTGGTAACTGCAGGATAACAACAGAAGCGTGAGCGGTTGCTGTAAGCACCCTCAAGATGTCACCTCCGCCTGTAAAGTGTCTCCCCATATGGGGATCTGCGGCAATAAAACTTAGCGCCCGCGCGCCCATCTGCGCAAACCATTTAACACGGGGGAGGCGGAGGCTTTGGTTCGATTCCCCGCTGCAGTTGGATGGGCGGTCGCCGCTGTCTGTCTCCGCCGGAGGGGGAGCGAGTCCCTTTTGTCCTTCACGCGGAAGGCGTGGGAAGGTTACGGAGCCGGCCGCCGTCGTCATTGCACCAGCGCATAACAACAGCAACAACAACATTTACAACAACTCTCTAACATCAAGAACTTATCTGGCGGCGGTGGCGGTGGTGGTGGTGGTGATGCTGCGTTTGGCAGTGTGTCCCCAGTAAAATTCGCAAACGCTCGACAGGTGAGAGTCCAGGGATTCGAACGCAGAATCTCAGCGTCTCTGGCTGGCCGTACAACTCTGGCCTGGTCACTTCTCACACCCCCCCCCCCACTACGCCCCACTGCCCCCCCCTACCCCCCACTACTCCCCACTACCCCCACCACCACTCACCACTCCCCCTCAAGACATCCCGCCTGCTACCGACTTTTTTTTTCTTTAATTACTGGAATCCTGCCGTTCAGGTATCCACCGGCCGATGGCTAACTTAAAAAAACGCACAGAGGCCCCCACGCCGATTATAAATCATCATCACTGCGGCTTTGCCCTTTGGAGGGGGGCAGGCGGGGAGGCCGCGCGAGGGATAACCGTGGTGGGGGACGATGGCGGCGACTCCAGGAGTTGCGAATCGTCGCAGATTTTGGGGTCCGGACCGTCAGCGTGGCGACGTTCAAACGGGGGGGGGGGGGGGGGGGGGGGCAGCGTTGGGTACGCGCCACTCCCGCGCGTGCGTCGCAACAATTCACTCGCAAACAGGTGTGCATGCTTGTGTCGGCCATTCGGTTTCGGAGACTATGCGTACGGATTGTCAGAGCATGTTTTGTTTGCATGTTCACCACAGGTACCGTGTGTGGTTAATGCAGTGCTCGATTCCTTGCAAAAAAAGGTTTCTTATTCGGTGATTTTAACATCTTCACACGTATTCTTGGTTCTTTCGGTAAAGTCACGTAGAAGGGAAACAAAAATGTTCTTGCTGTGGTTTTCACACCTGATGATGATTGCTTGTGTTGCAGTCGAAACGTCGTGAAAATTTTAATGTTTTATATTTTTCTTAT